ATAGGTACTTCTCTTAACGAGTTATTCTTTGAATATTTAATGAGGATGGTACGAAACTCTTTGAGGAAATTAGTTTTAGATAAAATCGGTGGCGAGAAATTTTTATCCGTAATACTGAAATGTCCATATTTAACACACTTGGCTTTATCTATCAGACCGGATTCTCCAAATCTTTCACGACTTGCAAATTTAAATATAGAACATTTAATTTTCAATGATTCAACCCCAGAGCGATTGGATAATTATATTTTAAATAATATAGAAAGTTTTCCGGATACACTTCGTCATCTCGATCTTCTTATTTGCATTTCACCCGATATTTTACAATATATTTTGGCAAAATGTAAATACCTTGAAACTCTTGGTATATATTTACAACTTCCAAAAGATGATCCTAAATATATCAAAGTTATTATTAGATATGCTCAATCATCTGGCAGTTTTAGTACGCTGAGATATATTAGAAATTGTTCCGGTCAAAAACTAATTCCACTTTCTAAAACATTATGTGGATATGCACAAATGTATATAGAAAATATTGTAAATGAAATTTATCGTCCTTGGGAATAAGATTTATTTGGTGGTGTATAGAAACTAGTTACTTGTTTCTGTATTTACAGTATCGTATACATGCATGTACTTCGATATGATTCCGTCTGAAAAGACGGTTTAATACCTACAAGGTGTTTATTTAAAATGAAGGTACTCTACGATTCATTATATTAACTTTATGAAATTAGCTCCAATTTTTTCAAAATCAAATTTTACCGAAATATTATTCCACCCATTTAGTATTATTTGACTAAAAAAATTTTTTTTTCTAATAAAAAAAATGTAAAAAAAGCTTTTTGGCAATGCCAGAAATTCAATAACTACATTTTTTTAGACACAACCTTTTTTACCTTACCACCCTTCACGCTTTTTTTCTTTCCCCATTTATTTCTGCCATCATAAATTCCTAATTTTTTTTCTAACACTCGTCTTCCAATCTGTCCGGGTAAAACATTGACACCCTTCCATTTTCTGGCCAATAATTCTTTAACACGAGTCTTTGGAGTTCCTTCATCAAAATAACACAATTCCATTATTTTACTTTCTGCAAATTCATCCTCACTTTCAATCGTCTTTTGTCGAAGTAATTGAAAATCCTCAATTTTTGGAACTTGCGTGGTTGAAAGCTTTTGTAAGAGTTTTATGGCTCCCCAAATGTCATCACATCTTTTAAAATAAATAAATTTTTTTTTTGGTTGGTACAAACTTGAGCGATAATTACAAATCAATCAAAAATTTTATAAAATGTTACCTTGCCAAAATATGAATCATCTCTTTATAAATATTATATTCCAGCTCTTTAGTCATACCAAGCCTTCTAATTTCTTTCAATTGGTCAAGTTCATTCAATCCATTCATCTCGTCCACTCTATCTTTCCACCAAGTTTTCCAATCTTGCCAAATGTTCCAAGCTTCTTCTATTTTCTTGTGCTTATAACATAATCTCAGCATTGTTGTAAATATCCAGCCATTTAGCTCTATGTTGTATTTTGGTATAACATTCCGATAAAGGTTCAAAGTTCTGTGAAAATATGCATTCTTCTCAAATACAGATAAATATGAATTAAATAATACTGGTGTTATACGTGAGAATTTTGTGGTTGATAAGGATGTAGAATCGGAAGATTCAATAACGGAAAGAACGTAATTAAATAAAATAGTTGATTCCACAAGAATTTGTTTTTGTGTTGATGGAGGATTTGGTAATAGTGGATAGATATCAGATCCAATAACTAGTAAATGATCCTTATATTTTGATAGCATATTCTCAGTGCTGGTTTCTACTAAACTTCCGGTGTTATTAATTATTTCTTCTGCAACAAATATATTATGATTTTCGTCATTATCATGTTGGCTACTTTCAATTTGATTGTTCTCGACGTTATCTTCCTCCACAGTGGGAACAGGTAATGTATTATGTGGAAACTCTTTATTTTCCTGTTTTGACTGTTTTATAGGTTGATTAGAAATTTTATGAGCAGAATATACCAAAAATAAATTTGAAAATGTAGCTAAATTAGGTGCCAATGATGGGTTCTGTCGGGCACTTGTAAAAAAATTAAGAGTAAATTTTTTTTTCTGAAAATAATCTTTAATAAATCAGAGTGAATATAATCAAACCTTTGCATCATTGATATCAACAATTTTCTAGCAGTATGTGTATCACCCTTATGTGCACATGCATACATTAATGAATTATATGTGTACAGGTCAGGAAGGTACCCATGCTCATTCATGTCTTCTAAAACTTTGAACGCTTCTTCATAATAATGTAAAATATTCAAAAAAAGTATATTAAGAACATGAAATACTAAAAGCGTAAATGTGAAAAACGCGAAAATATAGTTTAAAGGATATCTTTACGACGCGCGCATGCATCGATCAAAGAATTAAATGTTACATCAGTTGGACATAACCCTTTTTCTGCCATCTCTTGATACAGATCAAAAGCTCGTTCTACATCTCTCATCTAGTATTTTATTAGGAATCATTTATTTATATGTAAGAAAATGTAAAATAAATCTATAAATAATTTACTTACCTTTGCACAAATATGAATCATTAGACTATAAGTCACTTCATCAGGTTGGCAAACTTCTAGCCGCATATGATCAAACGTTTTCCAAGCACGTGCAACCTCGCCATTTTTTATGCATCCCTTGATTAACATTGAGAAAATTGGCTACAAGAAAAGTATAATATTTATGAAAATAAAGAACATATGGCAAAATAATAATAGTCATAATAATGTGATGACAAAATTAAAAATAAAGATAGGAATAAATCAATCTTATACTTGAATATGATTTCAAATTTACTTGATTTGGCATTATTTTAGCGGCCTTCATTTTGGAATAGACGTTGAAGGCTTCATCAATTTGTAGATTGTTTACATATGCTTTAATTAAATTTGCAAAGCTGTATACTGTTTGCTCAAGCCCAGCTAAAAAGAAGTTATCAAAGTATTAAATGTCAAAGAAGGACAATATTACTCTTTCTACATTTGACAATAAAAATTTCTTTTTTTATTCTTTTAATTTTACCATTTTCGATCATATCAAATGTAGATAAAGCATTTTTGACATCTCCCACATTCGAATAAGCATTTATTAGTTGCTCATATGTAAAAACATTTGGAGTTAATCCTACATCCTAAAATAAAAAGTGAAAAACACCATTATAATAAAAGAAGTTAATGAAATAAAACAAATTAAACATATCTACAAACCTTTATTTTTTGTAATGTCAATTCTGCCAATTTTACATTCTTTTTTAAAGCCTGAATAATTTAATTAATAAATTTATTAAATCCTCTTCAATATCGTAAAGATAATATAAATAATATGAAATACTTACACAAGCATACATAACATTATTGTAATGCTGTAAACCTAAATCTTCCTTTTCTAGTGTATCCATCAAAGGAATAATGTCATTTTCTAAAGATTCTTGTATTAATTTAGCAGATGGCAATTCTGATAAAGGTAGTTGTCGACTTTCACGAGAATTTGGGGTTAATAATGCTAATTTATCGATTATGCCACCAGGAGATAGTTTGTTAGGTAAACGTGCGGAAAGTGGAGTAGATAGATTTTCATAAATTTTTGAAAGTTCTTCATCTGAAAATGATGGTGATTCACTAGTCTAGCAATGAAAAAAAAATCGGATAAATTAATTGAATTTTATTTGAGATCGAATTTCATTGGAAATCAATTTTAATTTAAACAACCTCTGGAAATGCCTGTTTATCAAATCCAATTAACTTTTGCTTTAATTCTTTTATTTCTTTTTCTACTTTTAGTGTCATTTTCTTAATGTTAGTTTTATTACTAGAAACAATATTATCGAAATAAGTAAAGGAATGAAAATGTTTTCAATAATCATGATATGAAGTCAAGACCTTCGTTTCTTATTAATGCTATTATACCATCGGGTATTATAGCAATGTAGTGAATATGTATATGTTTTTGGTTCAAGTATTATATTTGAACATCGAAATAAAAGTGGCGAATTGACACCAAGAAATTTAACTTTCGAAAACATTGTGAAAGATGAATATAATTTCGAGAATTGCATTATCATTAGTTGAATCGATATCAATATCGATATGACATTGGTCGACTTAAAACCTGCTTAGCGTTAGTGGGATTTGCAAATGGTAATAAGTACCGAAAAAAGTGACGGTCATCTACTCGAACTATCGTGTTCTGATTGGACAAAAAAATGATGATATCTACTTATCTAAAATTTGAATTCATAGAATTTTTATTATCAATTTTAGGTAGGGATATCATCGCTCAAAGTTTAACAAAAATTTGGACGATTATCAAATGTTGCGGCTAGGGTTGTTAATGGAGTACTCCAGACTATAATAAAACATATAAACCACTCCAGCTTTAAACGATTTAATTTATATGTTTTATTATAGTTTGGAGTACTCTATTAACAACCCTAGTTGCGACAAAGTTTTTTCTAGATTTGATCGAAAATATCTCGACAATTACTTAACTCGATAAAAATTTTTTATTTTAATTCTCCAGATTAATAGAATTAAATTAAAAAAAATTTTCATCAAATTTAGGTAGGTAGTTATCGTGAATCATTTTTAAAAGTTGAAAAAACTTGTGTTTTGATAATCTAAATTTTGTTTAGAATATCTCAATAATTAGTTATCTAATATCGATAATATTTTTTGATTTAATTCTATGAATCCTTAGGATTAAAAATAAAAAAAAGTTCATCAATTTTAGATAAGTAGTTATCGAGATATTATCACTCAAAATTTAGAAAATATTTAGCCGCAACCTGTGTTAAGCTTTGAACGAAAATATCTCGATAAATACTTATCTAAAAATCAATAATTTTTTTTTTATTTTAATTCTATGAGATTGTAGAATAAAATTAAAAAATTTTCATCAACTTTAGATAGGTAGTTAATGAGATATTATTCACAAAAATTATAAAAAAAAAAGTAGCAAGGAAATATTATAGTTTTGCAAGTTTTCCAACCAAGAAGTGTTGTTTTAAGAATTTTTCATAGCTTTTTGTCTCCAAACAAACTTGAGTTTCTTTCCATTTGCTGTTTTTAAAAACTTTTTTAGTTTAAATGCTGGATATATAAGAGAGTCCACCCAAGAGAAGAAAGCAAAAGAAGAGCTTAACCTTTATACAAACTATTCAAAATATCTATTTCTCAATATATTATATTTAAGAACTTTGTTAGCAACAGTTCATATTGAGAAAACTTCAAGTTGTTGTTGACTTTTGGTTTTGAGTTTTCAACTTGCTTTTGGTAACTGGTTGGTACAAGTGATCATTAGGGAGAGTTGTGTGTTATTTATATATATCTAAGCTTTTTTTTTTTTTTTTTTTCTTCAGCAATTCTGTTTACTTTATTATGAGAACAGACTTTCATTCTTATATCAGTGTATGAGAAAATCTATAATCTATAATGTTCTAACTAAAGAGTAAACTTACTCCGGTGTACCTCGCAGATGCTGAAACATCCACTTGCAGTCAGAGTGAACTATTAAACTGCTATGTTTTACTTAAATGTGACCTGCTTAACAACACTTGGCCTCATCCAGAGATCCAAAACTCACTCCGAACTTATTTCTCCCAGATTCCTTGGCTGGCTGTTGCTCGCCCTGTCAAGATTCCCACTATACAATTTCATGTATTGGTTAAAAGTACTTCAATTTTATTTAATATA